TAGGCAGGTATCCTTCAATGTGGATACAGCTGACAAGCATCAGAACATAATACCACACCTGATACTGGTAACCCATAAAAAACCAAAATGCAGAATTCAAAGTGCAGGTCTCATTTGAGAATGACAGCTTATGCTGATAATCATTCTCTACTTGGAAAGGAGTTTCTACTTGCTATCCACAGTTGAACAAACCGGAAGCCAACCTAGTTCACAATGTAACAAACTGAACTCCATGTACAAAATCATTAAGTTGGGCATGGAATAGAATATAAATGTCACACATAAGGCTAGGCTTGAGCAGGAAAGTGTGCAGCATATAAGCAATTGGTGTGTGATGTTCTAACCCATTTATGATATGCAAATAAATTGTATGTGGCAGAAACCCAGGCTGTATGATACCTTTTCTTTAATCCGTATATATGAGGCCTGGAAAATTTCAAGTTAACACATGAAGAAGAAAATGCAAATTTGGCTACAGATAAAATCATGGGCACAGAACTGAACTCTTGTTGAGTGTGAGATATGACCTTACTGCCATTGTTCTTTTTATTTTTTTAATTTAATTTAATTTAATTTTATTTGTGAACATACTGTACAGAGGGGTTACAATTACATGGGCAGGATAATGCGTACATTTCTTATCAAGCATTGCAGCCACATCCCTTCCCAGCCTCCCCCCCCCCCCCCCCCCCCCACCCCCCCTCCCCCCCCCCCCCGCACCAACGTTGTAAAGCTTGTTTTTCGGCATGACAACTTGTACTTCTCATTGTTGCAACAGGTCCACCTGTATCCTTAAATGACTTGTTTTCCCCCATCTCCTCCACAAGTTATACTGACATCAAATATAGTGAAAGCAAGTTGCAGAGCTTCTGCATGGCAAAGGACATAGCTAGCAAGATCAATAGAAAGCCCACAGATTGGGAGAAGATCTTCACTAGCCATACAACAGCCAAGGGTCTCATATCTAAAATATACTTGGAACTCAAAAAATTAAATCCCCCAACAACAAATCCTCAAGGAAACAACTGCCCAATAAATAAGTGGGCTAAAGACTTAAAGCCATTGTTCTTTTGAAAAAGTATAACTAAACCAGGCGCTGGTGGCTCACTCCTGTAATCCATGTTACACTGGAGGCTGAGATGGAAGGATTGCAATGCAAAGCCAGCTTGGGCAGGAAAGACTCTTACCTCCAAAACGAACGAACAAACAAACAAAAACAAAAAACCCTACCAAAAAGGAGCTGTGGCTCAAGGGGTAGAGAGCTACCCTTGAGCAAAAAAGCTCCAAAACAGTGCTCAGGCCCCAAGTTCAAACCCAAGGACCAACAATAAAATTAAATAAAATAGTATCATTAAATATTTAACAATGAAAGCATTTATTTTTAAACATAACAAAATAAGCACCTTCCATCACCCAATTTGAGATAGAAAGTGCAATAAAATCAACACACTAAATTTCTGTTTATTTATTTCAATGACACCTGACCATCCCTATTCCTTATTATGTAACTGCTCACAAATGTGCAAAACAAAACAAAAATAATACTTCTTTATTAAATATCAAGAGAGTCATGACAACTGATCTCTGTTTTTATTATAACTTGAAAAAGGTATCATGTAAATGTGGCTATTTTTCAAAACCATATGTATTATAATAAGAGTATTCCAAAGAAAAATATATCTAAGTGAAGAAAAGAATTTATATGTTTTGTAAGCAAATAGGGACAAGACAAGAAGTTTACAATTGAAAAAAAAATAGAGTAACAGGAGGTAAAGAAGGATTTCCCCTCATATGCCTTCAGAAACATTAATTCAAACAACTTTCATATAACACATATGAAAAAAATTCACTCTCAGCAATGTAGGAATCCAGTACTTAGTTTAGCAAGGAAATAAGAATAGCCATGCTGAGAATAGGAAGAATCATTTCACATTACCAATTACCCCCTCCTCCAGGGCCAGAGTCAACATAGCAAAGACAGAATGACCTTCCTGAATGGGGAATGCACAGTGAAGTGCACATTTGACCTTGTTGTCTATCATAGCACCAATCAGTCTCAAAAGAAACCTTAAAACAAGCCAGTCCCTGGCTCTAGAACCCAGGCTGCTTCCCCAAAACCTGAATCCAGAATAGCACATGCATATCTAGTCTGGAATCCCACAGACCAGGCTCCAAATCCACTCCCCTACCCCATGAGCCGGATTCCAGACTTACTTCCTTTCTTGTACTTACTTCCTTACTCTTCATACCTGGTAAGCTATCTATTATTAAAAACAATAAAAGGTAACAAGTATTGCCAAGGATGTGGAGAAGAAAGAACCTTGTAAGCTGCTGTTAAATTATTAAGCCACTGTAAAGTAAAAAATTAAGTCATTATGAAAAATAATATGAAAATTCTTAAACTAAAAAATAAATCTACCTTGTAGATTAAATTTCTTTTTTTTCTTTCTTTCTTTTCTTTTTTTTTTTTTTGCCAGTCATAGGGCCTGAACTCTGGGACTGGGCGCTGTCTCTCAGCTCTTCAGCTCAAGGCTAAGTGCTCTACCACTTGAGCCACAGCACCACTTCTGGCTTTTTCTGCTCATGCATGCAAGGCAAGCACTCTACCACTGAGCCACCTTCCCACCCTCAATATCTGAGATCATTGTGTCAAAGAGATGTTTTCAGGTCTGTATTCATTGAAGTATTACTCACAATAAGCTAAGAAATGGAGAGAAAAACCTATTGATAGATGAATGAATAAATAAAATGCAAAACATATATGCATATATACATGCATGCACACATGCATGTATACATGCAAACACAATTGAATACTTTTAAAAATAAATGAATCTTGATTTTGTGACAACATAGCAAACTTTGAGAATGTTATATGAATGAACTAAGCTTGTAGACAATGACAAATAGCACAGGTAATCACTTATATGTAAATCTAAAAATGTTGATCCAGAAAAAACACAATTGTGATTGTCATAGGGGCTTGGTAATTCAGATTTAATGGGATATGGGAAAATATTAGTAAAGGTATACAAAGTTTCAGGCAAATAGCTGATCTACTGAGAAGTATTCAATAACATGGTGACTATTATTAATGCCACTATATACATGAAACAATACTAATAGATCTTAAATGTTTTTATTACAAAAAAGATGAGCAAATGAAATGACAGAAACATTAAATGACTTATAAAGAAATTACTCAAGTCAGTTAATGTATATCTACATACATATATATATATCAAAACATGACATTGTACAATATAAATACATACAGTTTTTGTCAATTATATCTTAATCAACCTGGCAGGAAAAATTTGGATTGTAAAAGACCAAGATGCTGCACAAATTCTCTAAAACTTTCACACTGCAAGATGTATGAATATAGTAAGTTATATTTTAAATATTTACACAGCTTGTAACCATGTGCTGTTTCACTCTATGGAGTCTTAGTACTAAAACTTCTATAAACACACCTTCTGGGTCTTCATTTCTTTGGTAGTACATTCAAAACAAAAGAATATGCCTTCTATTATTCCTGACAAGGTAGAGATAAAGAAAGAGTTACAAACACAGAAAGAGAAAACATGAGCAGCATCAGTGTAATTGCAACCCATTGAGGGGCAGTTTTGGGTGTAGGTTTATTTTATAATTAGAAAGTAACATTTGACGGGCGAGGAAGGTGGCTCAGTGGTAGAGTACTTGCCTTGCATAGATGAGGCCCTGGGTTTGATTCCTCAGAACCACATAAGCAGGAAAAAAAAGCCGGAAGTGGCACTGTGGCTCAAGTGGTAGAGTGCTAGCCTTGAGCTGAAGAGCTGAGGGACAGCGCCCAGGCTCAGAGTTCAGGCCCACGACCCGACAAAAAAAAAAAAAAAGAAAGTAATACTTGAATAGGCAATAACTAAATTCTAGAGGCCCTAAAGACTGTTGTTGATATTTGACTTATGGACAAAGTTCAAACATTGCCAAGATGTTACTTTATATTGCATTTTCCTCTGATCATTAGTCCAGTGCAATTAATATGCCTGAAAGTTCCAAGGGAGACATACATAGATCATTATTTCATATAGTGATGGTTGAAAATATTATAAATGTGAAATTATTTCTTTTATAAAATATATTTATTTGGGAAATTTGTAAGTTGATCACCATATCATAATTATTTATCACAAATGCTAAATTTAAACCAAACTTAAAAAGAAAAATAACCTTTCATACATAATAGCTTTACCACAAATAATTTTCCAAATAATTTTCAAATAGTTACTTGAAAAACCCATTAGTTTTACAGTCATTTTTGACTGTAGCTCTTCATTAATCTCTTGCATTCCAGATGTCTCCCTAGGCTGTAGGGACCTTGAAGCATTTCTATCACATAATTATATGCAATCAGTGATAACTATTGCATGACAAGCTATATATCAGAATTTCTACATTGTGTTTATCTTCTATAATTTATACTTCTTAATATCTTGTGAAAAGGGTAAATGTGATTATTTCTAATATATATGTCAAATATGTTTTACAATAATTCACACAATTGCATTTTCACTAATAGTAATGGCATCTGAAACATTATGGAACAAATTCCTATTAATAATTGCTATTCAACAAAGAATATCAAAATTGGACAAAACATTTCAGGCATGTCATTAGGTCTTTTGAGATTGCTAAATGGACAATATCATATTTCCATTGGCATTATAAAATTCTTTTTGTCACAATTTGCAACAAAGCTTTCATCTCATTCTTATTTGAGGAAAAGCTTTGGATCTGTTATATAGTGATATGGAAAAAATTCAATGGTGGTATTTCATCAAAAGTGTTTGGTATTTATGCTACATTTTACTTATATTCATTCCAAAAATCTTTGGAACTCTATGAGAATAGATTCACAATAATTGCTCATTGAGTAAAAGGAAAGTTGATAAATGGAGGATTGATAACCATAGGGGAAGAGATGCACCATTATACTTTTAATATCACAGATATACAGGTTACTCTTGTCCCATTAGTCTCTTAACTGCGTCTCTGACATCTTTGTTTCTGAGGGTGTAGATTAAAGGATTGAGGCTAGGTGTGACAACAGTATAAAACAGGGCAATGAACTTATTTTGGTCTTGGGAATTTCCCATGGGTGGCTGGAAGTATATGCAGAAGGCTGGAATGAAAAAGAGGGACACCACCATGAGATGGGCTCCACATGTCCCAAAAACTTTCTGAAATTCAGTAGTTGATTTCATCCTCAGTACAGCATGGGCAATGGCACCATAGGAAGTGAAAATGAGGATGAGTGGTATGAGAGCAAAAATTGAACTTGTGACCATGAGGGTCATCTCATTAGCATGTATATCTGCACATGCTATTTGCAGCAGAGCTGGAACTTCACAGAAGAAATGATCCACTTGGTGATGTCCACATAGGGGTACCCACAAAATAAAGAGGGAATGAAGTGCTGAGTTGGTAAAGCCACATACCCAGGAAACCATAGCCAAAAATTGGCAGAAACGAGGGTGCATGAGGACAGTGTAATGCAGGGGTTTGCACACAGCTGCATAGCGGTCGTAGGACATCACCATCAATAAAACACACTCTGTGGTTCCCAGAGCAAGAACAAAGTAAAGTTGGACCAAGCAACCAGCATAAGAAATGGTCTTGTCTGGGCCCCAGAGGTTGAACAGCAACTGGGGGATGGAGCTGGTGGTGTAGCAGAGATCCAGAACAGAGAGGTTTGAGAGGAAGAAGTACATGGGAGTGTGGAGGTGGGAATCCAGGTATGCCAGGATGATGATGAACAGGTTTCCTATCAGTGTCATCAAGTAGAAGATCAAGATGACCACGAAGAGAACTGCTTCCAGGTGGGGCCAATTAGAAAACCCTTTTAGGATGAAGTAGTTTTCAGAAGTCATATTGATGTTTGCCATCCTCATTCATTTTCTGCTGTGTTTTCCATTCAATTCTAGGGAGATTTGGGTATCAAAAAGTATTATTTCAGGGATTGACAGAACAGCATAAGAATCTCTAACTGATGGAGACAGAATTTTTTCAGACATTAAAAGTTTAAAGGGTAAAATGATAATGGAGTTAGAAAACATACTAACTAGTGGATATAAAACTAGTAGCTTTGCAAACTAAGTTTGATGGGCAGCAGATTATTCATGTAGTTTAATGACAAAATAAAAAGTAATTGTTTTGACAGACAATCTGTTGGACTCTAGTCACCACAGCTATGTGGAGATAAACCAACTTTTTGTGTCTACTGATGTTATGCTTTCAAAAAGATATATCACCAAAGTGATATTTATGCCCCCAATACACAGTCTATTTTTTTTTGTGACAGTCCTGGGGCTTGAACTCAGGGTCTAGGCACTGTTCCTGAGCTTCTTTTGCTCAAGTCTAGCTCTCTACCACTGAGCCACAGTGCCACTTCTGGCCTTTTCTGTTAATGTGGTACTGAAAAATCGAACCTAGGGCTTCATGCATGAAGTCCTACCACTAAGCCACATTCCCAGCCCCATAGTCTATTTATTATAATAAAAAATATCAGCCAAATTCAAACTGAGAAAAGAAACAGCTTACCTATAATCTACAAAAACTCAAGATCTGGAAAGGCAGTGAGGACTGAAGCATTGACTGGTCCAGGGTAAATGAGGCCCAAAAGACAAAGTACTAAATGTGTAATCCCACAGCTGAAAAAAAAGCTATTGCAAATTATTTAGACCATTGGAGAAATCTGAATATTGTCCTCAAGTTGATTTACCTAAGTTTTTTAAACTATTCATAGATTATGTGAAGTACTATCCTGGTTCTTTAAAAAGAAATACTAACTTAGCCAATGGTAAAAAGTATTGCATCTCCACTTCCTCTCAAATGGTCCAGAAATAGAGATAGATGATATGTAGGTAGACAGATTGTAGAGACACATATTCACAGATTAGATGGATAGAGATAAATAGATGGATGATAGATGAACAGCTAGATAAAAAATAGATAGATGGATGGATAGATAGATAAAACTTTTCAAGGATAATATTTATTGAAGCTAAGACTTGAAGTGTAAATGTGTGTTTTTACACTACTTTTTACTTTTTTATATTTTGCAAGTCTGCGATTTTCCCCCACAATAAAATGCTACCAAAAGAAAGTCCAAAATAATTTTATATTTCATTTAAATATTTTTCTTTTTACAGAAAAATTGTCTATTAAGTGCAATTCCTTCCCTCTAGTGTGAAATCTGAGTAAATGACTATTGAAGAAACACTAAAGGTGGCTAGAGAAGACAATAAACAAAGCGTTTTTCTTAACAAATCAGTATCCTCTGTTTTCTTTTCATAATCTTCAAATTGTTATTACTTATATGATGATAAAAGCATAATAATTGCAATTCCTATATTGTGACATATAGACTTAAATACTCAAATTTAGTGAGTTCAAGTTGTTTTTGCAAGGTGAAAACACTTAGCCTTAAACAGATGTCCTAGTCGAAAGAAACTTGATTTGCATTGTTTACTTGCTCTCACAGAAAAATATTTATTTTTTCTACCTGAAAAATAAACTGTAGAGAAAGACTAACAAAAGACACATAGCCACATGCATAGTAACTTGCAACTAATAATGGTATGGAAAATGAGAATCTGAATAAGAACATTTGAAATTCTTCCTAAAGGATGAGGGAATATAAATACATTTAAAAATAAAATAAATTCAGTGAGAGAAAATAGGACATAAAGCTGTGTGAGAGAGGACAAGCAAGAGAAGGTAATGATAATATTAGGGAGGTGCATAAATCACAGGACTGAGAAAGCTAAACACAGGCCCTGAAGGTAGTTTCTGCATGATAGATTTTTCTCTAGAACAATAACCACAGCACTGAAATTCTAAGCATAAATCTTAATTACGGTACATTTTAGTCTTATGTTTAGAGAAGAAATAAGACTGTTTATTGAATCCATAAACATTATCGCGTTAATGTGTTGTGCCCAGCGTGTTTTTTGTTTGGTTAAAAATAAATCATATTTCACAAAGAGTTATGATTTGTAGGTGGCTCCTTTTCTCTTTTATGTGTTTAATTTTTCATCTGGGCTTTGTCTTGTAGTTAATGGGTGACAATACATAGTAACTCAGCATTTCAATGTTCTCTTTTCTCTCTGAATTATCTGCCCACTCCAGCATTGCTACATTCTTTGACTCTAGTTCCTTATGGAACCAATGTATTCTATGCTGCTACACTAAGGCATGAGAAGAAAGAAATAAAAATAGATCCACCTGTTGTTTCCTGTTTTGGGGTTCTTTTAGTTGTTCAATTCTATAAATGCAGCTCTTGTAAAAGATGTCAGAATAGCTAATTGATTGTATTTCAGTATAAAAAATTGGGAACATTCAGATGAAAACAATACATTATGAGAGGTATGGATCAAAGAGTTACAACTCCTCCTTTCATGCAGATATAATTTTCAACTTCTACAGACAATTGCTTCCATGACTTAGTATATTGTGTACAACAAAGTATTAACTGTGAGTTATCTTTATTGAATCTTTAGTAGTCTTATAAAAGGAGATTAGAAAGGGATAAGAGATAAGGGGGAAATACCAGAAGCAATAAAGAAGGAACTTGGAATTTGTGGTTTAATTCTCTTCTTACATGAAGTATGGAAAATAATGCTTATCAAAGTTGTTTTGGGGGGCTGTGGATAATTTTACCTCTTTAGAGTAATAAAGGAACATTGTGAGGAGAAAGTAGTGGCTTATTTTTAACTTTTTTCATCATTAAGCAATATTTTCTGTTCTTGGCCTTCTTACTCCTTCAATATTCTTACCTTGTATTTAGGCAGTAGTTATGTCTGCAATTACTGTTTGTTCTTTCTCCTATCTATTCCTCACCTGTGCGGATGACTTCATCACTGGGGTTGATCTTCTTAGTATAAATGGCTAATTGATCACATCAAGTTAATAAAGTTGAATCTGAAAGTTGAATCTGAATCTGTGATTGTCATCTCTAAAGAAGAGGTGTGAGTCTTAAAAGTGGTTAGCCCAAAGGAGAGATTCATCAGAGCATTTAGCTTATCAGGGGATGGACTCTTTAGGGCCAAAGGGGCCTTCATGGAAACTAAAAATTATATGACTTGATTTCCTTGACGAGGTAATTTGAAAAGTAAATCCCAAAGTGTTGAATAATGATGCCATGTAAGGCGTTGTTTTAATTAGAACTCTTTCTCAGAAATGTGGTCAGCAGCCACACCAACATAACAGTATTTGAATTTCAATCATCACTGAATAAAATGCTTTAAGCTATGATTACCAGGCACAGTGTAAATTGACAAGATACCTGAATGTTTCTTCTTAAGTTTTTATTAAGAGCTAAACTTGGAATAAGTTGCTAATGAGAAAAAGTATAAAGTTTAAAAAAAATTGAACTTCTTTTTTGGGGTGTGTGTGGACTGATTCTGGGTCTTGAAACTCAGGGTCTGGGTTTGTCCCTAAACTTTGGTACTTAAGACTGGCATTCTACTGCTTGAGTCACAGCTTCACTTCTGGCTTTTTGCTTCTTAATTGGTGATAAAAGAGTCTGGTGGATTTTCCTGGCAGGCCTGACTTCATCGGTGATTCTTAAATCTTAGCCTCCTGAGTAGCTAGTAATATAGGCATGAGCCACTAGTACCTAGCTTAAACTGTATATGTTTGCTTGGTTAATTTGAGTTCTTTAATTATGTCTACCTGATATGCCTAAAATCAGGCTAAATTCAGTCCTTCAATTATGAAGAAAATACTTTAAAGACTGTTCAAAATTTCCTTAGAAATTAACTATCAAATCTTCAAAGTATTTTAACAAAATTTTAATATTTTCAAAACATTATATGTATTTTTTATATATTTCCAAGACATATCAAGATATATTACTAAGGGAAGTTGATATTGATAATCTATATACAATAATTGTCTTGAATTTATAAAGGATTTTGTTATTTCAGCTAGTAGATTGATTTTTTTTTAATTTTTTATTGAAAAGGTGATGAGCAGGGGGTTACAGTTACATAAGGAAGGTCATGAGTACATTTGTTTTTAAATACTTTTACCCCATCCCTCATTTTCTCCCATTTACCCCTTCCTACTCCCCTACCACCAAGTTGTAAAGTTCATTTCCAACATAGTTTCAAGTGAGTATCAATGTTGCATTAGTTCCTCCTTTGTCTTGCTGTTTCTGTGGTTCTATTTCCCTTCCACAGATTGAAAAAATGTATATACAACACAAAGAGTTGTATATAAAACAGAAAAAAAGAAATAACTATATACAGTATATAATACAAACCTCTTGTTTCCCATTCTTCAGTTCATGTTGATATGCTTCATTATACGTGGTCCTATGCACTTAGCAATTGGGTTATTGAAATCCCATTAAGAATATCATAAAGCCAGGTGCCGTTGGCTCACGCCTGTAATCCTAGCTACTTAGGAGGCTGAGATCTGAGGATCGTGGTTCAAAGCCGACCCAGGCAGGAAAGTCCATGAGACTCATCTTCAATAAACCACTCAGAAAACCGAAGTGGCGCAGTCACTCAAGTGGTAAAGCACTAGCCTTGAGCTGAATAGCAGAGGGATGGTATTAAGGCCCAGAGTTCAAGCCCCATGACCGACAAAAAGAAAAAAAAATATCAGACTTATTCTAAACAAGATAAACCATTTAACCAACTTTTCTTTGGGTCTAGCTTACTTTCCTTAATATAATTTTTTCCAAATCTTTCCAAGAATAGGGCCATGCCATTCTTTCTGATGGAAGCATAAAACTCCATTGCATGTATATACCACATCTTCTTGGTCCATTCATAGTAGGTTTTACCAGAGAAAGTCTGGTAGGGAAAATCATATTAAGTTAAAATAGAATTACACATAAAATTTAACTCTTTAGAGAGTGCTCTGGTACTTTCTGTGCAACAGAAACAACAGTAAATTGTCTTCAGCTTCCATAGTCTTCTTTGCTATAAAAACTCAATGTATCAATGTTTTTACCTTCCTTGTGTAAGAAAGAATTTGTGGTCTTTACCTGCATGTAGAATAATGACTTTTAGAGGTTGGAAGAATGAGAGAGTCAGTGGACAAAAATTGTGCAGGTGATCAGTGTACATTATATATGTGTGTGTTAAAATGTCCCACTAAACCCCAATAATTTGTGTCATTAATACGTGTTAATGTAAAAGTAAAGAAAGTAATTGAAACTTCAATATGAAACAAATGTAAAAATTCTTCACTGAGCTGAGAGCATAGCCATTCCATGCATTTTATCTGTTAGTACCATTAGGGTAAATTTTAATTAAAGACTGATACTTGTGAAATCATACATTACTTTTGATAATGTTTACTTTAGACTTGAAAGTATTTAAAATAAAAAATAACCTTTTTACCCCTCATCACTTATAATCATTTTGAATAATCAACTGTAAGGGTTTTCATTTTTGTATTTATTTCCAGAACTCAGCACACATGTCACAGATATGGTCCATGTAATCTTCATCTATTACTCTGTGATTCAACACTTAGCCCAAAGAGAACCACCTACTGTGAACTAGTTTACATTGTTCTGGTAAAATTTTAACATGTCTGATAAGCAATTATTCAACAATGGCTGCACAAAAATATTGTGCCTTCCAAATATTGTATTATCTAATGTCCCTTCGATGACATTTCCAGTTTGATGTTCACTTGTTCACTTATTCTCATGGTCATTTCAAAGTTACAAATTGTGTCCACTTCACAGACACTCAGTTTCTTCATAAGAGATTAAAAACATAATAGAGGATTAAAAAACGACAACAACAACCTGACCCATAGTAATGATGAGATGTACAAGCTACTACATTGAAGGCGAATTTAACAACTTGGTGGGGGAGGAGGAATTGGGGTGGTGGGAAGGATACGGATGGTAGGGGAAAAACAAAGGAGGAAGTAGCAATGCTCAATAGGAAATGTACTCATTACCTTACTCATGTAACTGTAACACCTCCGTATAGTATTTTTTTTACAATAAAAACATATATAAAAAACAAGCCTGTATCATAGCATTAAAATCTGTGTTCCTCCAACTATCCTTGCATAGAGTTGGCTCTCCTGGTGATTTTTTGCATATTATATTAGTTTATTTTCCAGAGAAAGTGGGATCTTTTCTTACTTTCATCTTAGATTTACAGCTCCCCATGCAAACATACACTCAGGGGGTCATGCTTTCATTACTAGATGTGGGATTCCCCACAGACTCCATCCCTTCAATATTGTGGCCCCATAACCTACTTTTACCTAGATTTGCTATCAGTGCTTTCCTGGGAGTCAGCAGAATGAAATGAATCTTACTTAACTGTCACTACCTATGGGAAAAGTGCTATCTACAAAACTCTGCCTTGCTGACAAGGTATACTCACACACATTGTTCTCACATTGGAATTCTACCCTACTGTGTGGATAATAAGGCACTTGATTATTTTGTGTTCCCAACTATCATTGTCTTTGAGCTGCTCATTTTCATCCTTCATATAGGTGATTTTCATGTACTGACATTATACCTGATGCAAAAAATAACACCATCAACATTTGTATTTCCATAAACTGTATCTCTCCTATGCTACCACAAGGTAGATGGCCATTGGATTATAGAATAATATAGTAAAATATGCAGTTTTAAATTAAAGATTTCTCTCTTACTAGTAAGCCTTTATTGCTATAAGCAGTGCGGATTTCTTGTTGATTTCCCCAAGCCCAACTCCAGTGATTCTTCATCACCCATTGACCGTGAGGGCTATGTTTTTTTCAGACATGGGAATGACTGGAACTTACAAGTCCCTGTCTTTAATCTAGACTCTAGATTTTTTTCCTTTGGTTATATTCCAAGACCTGGAAAAGGACACCTATCAGGATTATGCCCAATCATAATAATTAGTAAAAAAAAAAAAACCAAACAAACAAAACCACCAGCACCACCACCACCAACAAAAACCCTAAATACTTTCCCTTAAAATTCCCAGCTAGGTGAGGATTCCTGCTTCTTGCTTTTCTATTGAAAACTATCTGGAACACCCTGGCCAATGCTATAAGGTGTGGAAGTGAAATATATAGGTTACAACCTCTGGAGAGATGCAACTAAGAGCACAAATCTGGGCAGAATGTGATCCTTTACTTATAAAACAGCAAGAGAGCAAGGAAGAAAGTTTAGGGACAACACACAGGCCCTGGGTTCAAGTCTCATGACTGGCATCAAAAAAAAAGAAAAGAAAAGAGGATTAAGATAGCTGAAATATGTTACTAACTAGCCAATCAAAGCAAATTAAATCCATTATCATTTTGTTTGATTTCACTGACCAGCCCAAATTCTTGGAATGTTCTCATAAGCAACTTTATTACCAATGTGCCCAGTGACAATACATATATAGTAAATCCTCAATCTTATCTTGCCCTTGTTCTGTTCAGACAAAAGATGTGTTATATTCATGTATCTTAACAAGAGTCAAACAATCTGAGAAAGAGAAAATGTCTAAAAATGACATTGTTAATAAAATAATTGAAGCATAAGTTCACGAAAAGCAGAAGGATGAACAGATATGTACTTTGAATAGGTATTTGTTTACAATATTCAATGTGCCAAGTTACATAGACCCACTGGTTAAATTATTTATATAATTTTATTACTGAAAACTTTATTTCTTCACCAAAAGAATTAACATATATGCTTGTACAATATAATAGACTACATCATTCATCATATTTACTATTTGTGTCTATTATGATATTTTGGACTAACTTTAAGGTCTGCTTGATGGGAATAAAACCCTTATGCTAAGTCTTTCCAATATTTTCCTCTTTCTCTATAGAGGTTCATAAATTAATATATAAATTTATACTGAAAAGAGTCAAAGGATATTATGTATTTTCAAGTGGTTTTAATAAAATCTTTTCCTAATGATACATTTCCCCACCCCATAGATCCTGATATATGTTAACACTTCATTCCATGGAATTTCAGAAATATTTAAGAATTAAATAGTAATAAAGCATTGATTCTTAAGCAATATTTCAAGATTATTGATAAAAGAAACAACAATTTCAAGTCTCAACTAATTTTGTTAATTTGTTAACCAAAACGTAAATCTCAAAAAAGCAGAGATATCTCAAAAAAGCAGAGCTATTTTCTTCTAGGTTGCACCAGACTTTGTACAACAGTTGAAGGATGTGGTCATGTCGCACTCTTATACCCTATTAACCTCCTTACTGCCCCTCTCACATCTTTGTTTCTGAGGGTGTAGATGAGAGGGTTGAGGCTAGGTGTGACAACTGTGTAAAACAGGGCAATGAACTTGCCTTTGTCTTGGGAGTTTTCAGTTGGAGGCTGGAGATAGATACACATGACTGGAATAAAAAAGAGGGACACCACCATGAGATGGGCTCCACATGTCCCAAACACTTTCTGAAGTCCAGTGCTTGATTGCATCCTCAGTACAGCCCGGGCGATGGCACCATAGGAAGTCAGAATGAGGAGGAGAGGTACGACGACAAAAACCGAGCTCATGACCATGAGAGTCAGCTCATTCACGTGGGTATCGATACATGATAATTGTAGCAATGCTGGGACTTCACAGAAGAAGTTATCCACTTGATGATGTCCACACAAGGGCACCCAGAAGGTAAAGGAAGAATGCAGTGCTGATGCAGCAAAGCCACTTACCCAGGAGGCCACAGCCAGTAATTGGCAGAAGCGAGGGTTCATGATGACAGTGTAATGCAAGGGTTTGCACACAGCTGCATAGCGGTCGTAGGACATCACCACCAGCAGCACACACTCCGTGCTGCCCAGAGCAAGGACAAAGTAGAGCTGAATCATGCAGCCAGTATAAGAAATGGTCTTGTCTGGGCCCTGGAGATTGAACAGCAACTGGGGGATGGAGCTGGTGGTGTAGCAAAGATCCAGAACAGAGAGGTTTGAGAGGAAGAAGTACATGGGAGTGTGGAGATGAGTGTCCAGACATGATAGGAGGATAATGAACAAGTTGCCTATCAGTGTCATCAAGTAGAAGATTAAGATGACCACAAAGAGACCTATTTCCAGCTGAGGCCATTTTGAAAATCCCAGTAGAATAAAATAGCCTTCAGAAGTAGCATTTTTTCCAACATCATTCATCATCTTCTGTATCTGAAGAAAGGATCACTTAACTTCAAAAAGCTGTCCATAATTGTCAAACACTAATCACCCTGTTTTTGTTTTTTAAGTATACCACTTTGAAATGCAATTCTGTGTGTGTCAGAAGGCAGTAAAATTTTTGTCATTTTTTTGTTTCATTCATGTTTGCTCTCTGTAGATATAATATGTAACTTTCCTTTTGCTTTTAATTTGTTTTTAAATAGCATTTCATGCTAACATATACACATATACATCAATTTATCAAGTTCCATTATATGAGCAAAAGCTGATAATTACAGAATGATAAAGACCACAGACCTCATTGATGCAAAGCTTCCAGTATTAAATGAAATTAATGCTAATGATGGAAGACAGTGATTATTAAAGAATGTAAGAAAAAGGAGGAGGCAGGCAAGAGAAGACAGGAATTTTGGACACAAGAAAGAAAAGAGAACTAACATTGTGGTTCCCAGAGTTGAAAGAGTATATCTCACAGAGCTTAGAGACCTAGACAATAGGAATTAAAGATCCATACCATAAAATGCCCTATTCTTTCACAATTTTATTTTGTTTTATTTTTTGGGTCTGGTCGTGGGGATTGAACTCTGGGCCTGGGCGCTGTCCCTCAGCTTGTCAGCTCAAGGCTAGCTCTACCACTTGAGCCACAGCACCACTTCCGGCTTTTTTCTTTTTTGCTTATGTGGTGCTGAGGAATCGAACCCAGGGCTCATGCATGCAAGGCAAGCGCTCTACCACTAAGCCACCTTCCCAGCCCCTTTTCACAATTTTAAATAGTAGTTGAAGAGTGTCACCCCTTCCCTTCCCTCAAAATTTACTCATTACTTGATTTATATAACTCTAACTTCTTTGTACTTCACCTTTACCACAACAATAAAATCATATATATATATATATATATATATATGTTGAGATATTACTTAAATTCTGAGCCAGAATTTATAGTTTATATGCTTCAGGTTTTATGTGACTTATAATGGAGATTTTAACTAAATATTAATTAATACTAAATCAATTAAACATAGGCAAACCTTTGTATAAAGTTCAATGACAGATTTACCTTTTAGGTTTTCTTTTGTTAAAAAAAGTAAAGGAGAAATTCAAATGTGCACTGACACTATGACTTTCAACTGCCCATTTTCTCTTGTGCATTTTTTTTAAATTTTATTTTATTTTTTGTCTCTTGTGCATTTTTAATCTTTCATGGGAAAGGTAAAAACCTTTCATTAGTCTTTCGATGTGATATAGTACTTCACTATTTAAATATCAGTAAGTGGCTTTGTCATGCAAATTATTCTCTCCTCCTGCCACAGCTTCCTTTTTGTTATATTCTGGTAAAATCCAGGAAAGCTGAAAATAATCACAGCACACCAACCTTCTGTATTTGTGGTTATTTTTAAGAGTCAAAACTTGTATTTCTGCCTCTTAAAGAAGATATAAGGGCAGGCTAAGACACAAGGGACTGTCTATAAACAAACAACTTCAATGGCAGTGTATACTTTCTCTGATGCAGAATAGTTTTCTTCCCTTTTTGAGCTGCCTGTTTTAAATTTTAGTTTAGTTTTATTGTCAAGGTGATGTACAAAGGGGTTACAGTTGCATGAGTCAAACATTGTTACCCCCTCCTTCAGTTTTCTTGCACTTTCCCTCCTCCCAGACTCCCCCCCAAGTTGTAGAGTTCATTCCCAACATAGTGTCTTGTGAGTATTGCTGTTGCCTTGGTTCACCCTTTGTCCTTTGTCTCACCATTTTGTTGTTCCCCTATCCTTCCCCAAATCAGAGAAACGTATATACAAGACACAGGGTACGTAAATCAAAAACAGTGACAAGAAAAAGAAATAACTTCACACAGTACATTGAAACGAAACGAAATGAAACAAAACAAAAACAAAAACCCTCTTGTTTCCATATCTTGGAATTTCAATTAGCATCATCCTTGCGCAGGGGCCATGCTAATCTTCTCTGTATCGTTCCAATTTTAGTGTATGTGCTGCTAAAGTGAGCACTGCTTGATTATATTAGTTTAAAACAAGTGGCAGTGTGATACTTCATCTGTTACATGATTTGTTTTCTAGCATTCTCTTATTTATAAAAAAGGGATGAGAAATAAGTTAGCAAAAATAAATGAATAAATACCCTATGTAGAAAAAAATGAAGCTTTGATTTTCTCCTTGGTAGAAAATGAAAATGAAAACATTATTAGATGTACTTCTCTCTACTTTTAAATCATATTATTAGGTGTACTTCTCTACTTTGAAATCAACCACTACAGGGCAAATAAATGGCTTAACACTTACTTATAGTTCCATAGAATCATAATAAGACAGTTTTCTAATTTTTACTATATTCATTTCTAATGGGATTATTATAATTTTAATTACTAGTAATACTTTTATACATGTACAGAACACAGTGCAATGTCTTATGGTGTCTTGATATATGTATACACTGTGAAACAACTATTTCAAGATAACTAACATCATCACTTTGCATACTTAATTTTTATAATGATAATATTAAAAATCTGCTCTTTGAGTGATATGAAGTACAGGAGTTGAGTGTGTGGTGCTGATACTGACCTTCCACTTTGTCCACATTCTCTGTTGTTTTCTCCTCTGTCTATGACCTCAGCATATTTAAGTGTGTGAGTTCTCTGCTTGTCATGCAACCTGAGAACATCAGGCTAGTTGCTTTCTTATGCCATTTTGGTTAATGTAATAAATCTTGCTGTGAAGAGAAAAATCATCATTGTCAGAGACGAAGGAAGCCTGAGTTTGTCCCAAAGATTGCTTTTAGCAGAACATGGAACACTTTAGGGTATAAAAGGCTCCAGGGGTTACATCCAATATCCCAGAGCAAGTTGGACCTGTATAAAAACACAGAAAATAATAGGCCTTTTTTTTTTTGGACTGGGGTCTTGGGACAATAAATCCCACAATTACAATTAATGCCTTTGAAGGAGCTGTCCGTGGCTTAACCTTCCCACAAAACTCTTCACCAACAGACCTTCAGTGTGATGTCATCTTCCCACTGATGTGAGGATTTTGTCACCATGGCAGGAAGAGCTGTATGCTGGGTGTTGTATTAATGATGAAAGGCATGAGTTGTACCAAATCGTTTCATTTTCTGCCTCAATTCTACATTAGGCTAAGGTTCGAATTCCGGATTGCCTATTAATGGCCTACAAAGTAGAAAACTTAGAATACATAATGACTGCATTGCATATGATTTTCCCATTTGGGAGTCATTTATGATACAATTAGCACTTACATTTCTGTTCTTTAATTGTTAAAGGTTTGTGGTTTTTTTGTTTTTTGCTTTTTTGCTGGTGGTGGGGCTTGAACTCAGCGTGTGGGCACTTTCCCTGAGCTCTTTTTCTCAAGGCTAGCATTCTATCACTTTGAGTCATAGCTCCACTTGTTTTCTGGTGGTTCATTGGAGATAAGAGTCTCAAGGTAACAATGCTTGATAAGAAATGTACTCGTTATCTTGCCTGAGTAATTGTAACTCCTCAGTACGGTATTCTTACAATTAAAAAAAAAAAAAAGAGTCGCATGGACTTCCCTGCATAGGCTGGCTTCAAACCACAATCCTCAGATCTTAGTCTCCCGAGTAGCTGGGATTACAGGCATGAACCACTGGTATCTGGTTTTTAATTGTTAAAAGTATTTTTGATAGAGGCATCAACTCTATTAAGACAGAAATATTTTTGTAAAAAATGATGTTTTCCTTTACTGTAATAATAAAATCTCAATATGTAGATAATATTTTAATATCTTATTATTTTCTTTCATTTTTACGTTCTTTTTACAAGGTTTTATGGCCAACTAAAAGCCTTTCTATATAAAAATGGAAGGTGTGGGGCTGGGAAGGTGGCTCAGTGGTAGAGCGCTTGCCTTGCATGCATGAGGCCCTGGGTTTAATTCCCCAGCACCACATAAGCAAAAAGAAAAAAAGCCAGAAGTGGCACTGTGGCTCAAGTGGTAGAGCGCTAGCCTTGAGCTGAAGAGCTGAGGGACAGCGCCAAGGCCTAGAGTTCAGGCCCCACGACCGGACCACCCCCCAAAAAAATGGAAGGGGCTCTTTGAAAGATGACCTATATCAATTGAAAATTCCTAATTACTTTTCAAATTTAAGTACAAGTTTATTACTGAAAGACTTGTTTGATAGCCTAACATAGAATCTGTCCTAGACAATGTACTCTGAGAAGAATATATATGGGTTGTGCATGGATGGTGTGTGATGTACATGATCGATAAATCCATATATTCTAAAGTGTAGTTCAAATCCAGTGTTCCCTTATTGATTTCCTATTGGGAGGATCTGTGTCTGTGGAAAGTAGGGTATTGAGCTGTGGTCAGTCTCTCTTTTAATATCTATTAATGTTTTCTTTAAGTGATATTCCATGTATTTACAATTGAAATGTCCCTTTGGTGAGCTAATACCTAAGCTCTTCATGCATACATACTTAAAATTGAAATATTCCTTTAGTGAGTTGATGCGTTAGTCATTGTATAGTGACCATGTCTTTTCACCTTCATATTTTGTCTTTTCTAAGGTCTCACTGGATATTTTGTGTTATGTGTAGCTATCCTTGCTCTTTTTAGCTTCTGTTTGTATTGGATATCTTTTTAAAAAAATATTTTATTTGAAATCTATGTGTTCCTTTAAAGCCTCTTCTAGGTTTCTTCTAGGCAGCCTACAGTGAAATATTTCAACTATCTATACAGTCATTCTATGTATTTTGATTGGAGTACTGAATCTATAATATCTAATATAACTTTTTTGAACTCTTAAGGTCTGAGCTCAGGGCTTCCTGCTTGCTTGAAGAATGATAGACACTCTACCACTTGATTCATGTTCCTAGTTCTTTGTTGTTTCAGTTACTTTTTGGATAAAATCTTCTTTTTTGCCAAGGACTGGCCTTAGATTGCTTTATTTTCCCTTCGCCTTCCCATGTAGATGTCTTTACAGACATGAGTCAA